AGAAATACTACAGCTCTTTCATTCTTTTTAATACTCTGTAAGAATACAGCACAGGGAGAACTGTAGAAATTAATGTGCAACTTTATCGGTCTTTAAACCTGTGGTAATGAAAACATGAACAATTACTAATTCAAATGAATGCTCTGTGTCAAAATATTATTGAGAAATGTAACCACAAGACTATAAGTATTCTATTTTAACAAAACTTAGGGTTCTATTTGTAAGCATTTCTTTTGGTTACGTGAATGTGCCTTGATTTTACAGGCATTATTGTTATGGATAGATAAATACAAGTGGCCTTGGACTCATCACCAGCCTGTAAAAATATGGTTTTAGATACAGGGTTCATGGCAGTGTTTCACTAAAACATTTGTAATGAAATTCTATCTTATAATATAACTGTGAAATGTTATTGACACCTCTGGGGTTACATGAATGTCAGTTTGTTTGGCATGTTTCCGCAGAGGAAACATGGAGACATAGACATTTTAAAAACCTATGACATCTGTAGGGGCTGTGTTCTTTCTTACTCAGAAGAAAAAATGAAGTCCTGCAAATAGGAATTCAGAATTCTGGATGAGTCTTCTGTCAGCACAGAACTTTCTCATTTTCAGGGGAAGTCTGAAGCAGAGTGGGAGGAGAATCCTAGCAAACCATTGTTTGGACTTCACTAAGTTCTCAGAGGTACCAGGACAAAATCAGAATTAGGTCCTTCCAATTTCAATTCTCCTGATTTCCACTTGGTCCTTCAGAGCATGGCTTCCGCTAGAGTTGTGTATCTGGGAGGACTTCTCATTTATTCACCTCTGAATTCCTCTGAAGTTTCAGAGGCAGAAAAATAATTTTTCATGTACTAATCCATTAATTTATTTTAATTAATCTATTTAATATATTAATTTAATGTACGTTTGCTGTGCTTTTCCATCTACTTCTCGGGTCATCAGTGATTAACTTTTGAGGGAAACTTTTGTCAAATAAGCAAAATGTGGGATGATATGTCATCTAATGCTAGGGATGCTTGGAAGTCATTTACAAAGAGTCAGTCTTATTCTCCTCCTGAGAAAAGGGAACAAATAGCGTCTATCTTTCCTTGTTATTGCCTCAAAATTGTTAAATGAACTGTGACATCTGCAATGTATCCATTCCTGCATAAAAAAAAAGCTGTGTTTGTGGTCTATCTGGTGGGTGTGTGACAGAGAGCATTGCCAGTGATGGGCCTGCTGGTCCTGAGCACAGCCAGTGTTTCTATGTTGATGCCAGCGTTGGCAGTGTTAAGGGAGTTCTACAAACAGAGGAAGAAGTGATAAGAAAGGATAAAATTTACAGCTGAAACTTTGGATTCAGCTAAGGAACACAGGAAAACTCAAAAGATGAGAGATGATTGTTTTTCTTATTTTTACTTTACTTACAAGTGCTGTATACTCCTTGATAAAAGTAGCCACGTCTCAGATATTTAGAGCACCTGACAAAAGAAAAAATGGTGTTTATGCCAAGAACAATAAGAGATAACTCAGGATGTCCTTTCTGAAAAGATTCCTTCTTGCATCTTCTTAGTTTTTCTTTACCTGAATTAAGGAGTGTTTATTTAAAGCAATGCCTCTGCACAGCTATGCTGCCCATGGGCAACTTCAACTTCATCAAATTGCTGTACTGAAAAGAGAATTTTTGGGCTGTTCTAGCTTAAGTCCATCTCTTACTATTTTTCCCCTACTTTTTAAACCTGGTCAAATTATATTTTAATCAAATTCTGAATCAAATTCAACATAACAAACGACATGAAAGGAATATGCATTACACACAGGTACCCTTATGTCTCTCTTGTGCATCTTCTTCTCGCCAAACTTTGTTTTTCCTTTTGTATACTGAACTGCAGCTTAACATCTTCCCCAAGAGGAGGAAGAAGGGCATAAATAGGGCCCTCTACCACCCAGAGAGAGATTTCATACACTCAATCCTGGGTGTCTCACCTGCTCATGTAACATTACATTATGCAGCAAAACAGAGGTCTCGGGTCTCTTCATTTTCCTGAACTTTCTTACTGCACTCCAGGGGAATCACCTATTTTCTGAAGATCCTTGCTTGGAAACCAACCTTCAGCTTGCCCCTTTGAGGTCTCGGTGCAGTTAGTCCTGGGAACAGAATTAAGGATGTAGCAACTACTGTCCTGGATATTTTGACACTGACCTGTGATTCGCATCACCCAGCAATGTCAGAGCACAAAGAGGCTTAACTCTCCACAGAAACCCATTCTGAGGTGGGGACTTCACCCTTCCAAGGAAAATGAAACAAAATAAAAATGAGTTACAGACAATTAGAATAACTAGTAGTTAGTGCCTCTGAATCACAAAGAGCACCATTTCTTTCTGAAAACTACGATACGTTTCCCTCAGCAGAAATAACCACCGCTTCCAGCAAATCTAATTCGTCCTGCATATCTTCATTGTTTCCCACTTTTCTCTCACTCTCTCTTGCCACAGGCACTGTTTTTTTGTCCTAAAAGCAAGTTCTGTGCCTGTGGTTCTTCTAACCCTCATTCCTTGTGGGATCACTGTCTAAGAGTGGATGTCTAGTCCTTTGTTAGTCCCACTGGCTTTCTGAAGCAGAGATGGTGAAGAAGGTCATCAAAATGTTGTGTATAAATCGGTCCCTTCTCCCCACTACTGAGGATAAGTTGTAAACAGCAAAGAATGCTGGGGAAACTGAGCGAATTAAATGTAGTCTCACATAGTCCAAAATATAGTCCCAAGTATCGGTAGCAGTCTCAAGAAGGGGGGTGTGGAGCCAGTTGCCCAGGACCGTGTCGAGGCAGCTTTTGAATATCTCCAAGGATGGAGACACCACAACCTCCGAGGGCATCCTGCACCAGTGCTCTGTCACCCCACATAGGGGTTTATGCCTTTATATTATAAAATTCAAGAAATAACTTTAAAGTTCTCTGGTTTGTTGATAAGTAAATCAAACTCACCAAACTGACAAAAATTCAGTTTATTATAAAATATATACTGTGACAGTTTGGGAAACTAACATTTTTTAAATGTGCAGCTTTTTGTTTGCTTTTCATTATAGCTGATGCTATAGTCAAACCGTAAACTGATAGGATTTTCACTGTTCTTGTCAACATTTGTCTGATGCTTTTATGAGCCTGAGGGGATAACATAACTCACGCTTAAGTGGAACTTTCAGTTTCATAAGCAACTAATTGAGTGAAGTGCATTTATGCACTTATCATATGTCTGAAACTGGCATTGCCAGGAGTGCATCTTGGGGAAAAAAAAATTAAAAATAATTGCTTGAATTAAGTATCCAGTACTACTAATTTGCTAATATGCTAGACGATAATCCAGACCGTTTAATAGAAGCATTTCTGCAAAATACAATGATTTTTTTCTGAATATTCAAATAAGCAAGAAATGAAATTATCTGTGCCTCTAGGAAAGTTGTAAAGTTAATCTCTGAATAAATTCTCTCTAGAGACTAATACACCACCTCTCATAAGAGTATGAGCAAACATTTTCATTAGTTCATTTATCACAGGAACACAGACGTTTTGGTCACAATGGAACTTTGATGATCAGATTTTCATGGGATCATGGAATCATTTTGATTGGAAGAGACCTTTAAGATCATCAAGTCCAAGCATTAACCTCACACTGCCAGGTTATCACTAACCCTCAGCACCATATCTATACATCTTTTAAATACCAACAGGGATGGCAACTCAACCTCTTGTCCAACTGCCCACTTCAAGTAGGACTACTGCTGACCCTGAACCAGAAGAGCTTTGCATCTTCCATCAGCTCTGGTTCCAGCACTGCATTACCATAGCCTTGAGAGAGGGTTTTCTGATGTCCAGTCCAAATCCTCCAAGCCACGGTTTCTGACCATTGCTCACAGCTCTGTCATCTTGCAGTAACAAGACTTTAACCTCATGCTTTAACTTCCTCTTCACAAAAACAAACAAGCCCAGCTCTCTCAAGACTGTCTGGATGTCATGTGTTGTAAGCCACTGTGATCCTGCTTTGAGAGACTAGAGGTTCCTTTGAGGTACCTTCTTCTCCATTGATTCTATCGATTCTTCTGTAATCCAAGGAAAATAATTGTTACACAAACATCTGATAGAGGAAAAGCTGAAACAGCAAAGTAAGAATGACAATGAGTATACAAAACAGCTAAAGGAAAGAAAGTATGCTACCGTAGTTCAAGCAGACACTGAAGAAAATATGCTACTATTTGTTTTTTCCTTCAGAGACACAGGGATGGAAGAAAAAACCACAGAGAAGAAAAACCATGAATTATCCAAGTTGCATTGGTACTTCATTTTAGTTTGCCAGCCAAATTTAGTTTTCTTTAAAAAATAGTTTATTTTTTGCACAGAAGAATAGTATAGCTGTGGTGAAAATGTGCCTTTTTCTTGCTATTCAAACAGTGCCTTATTGAATTAAAGTTATAAAATGAAAGAGGGAAACACTAGGACACCCATCATGTGGATTGATCATGAATCTTAGGTTGTCACATTTAACTATATTTTCCAAGTTAGATGGAAGTATAATGAGACCATAGAAAGCTTTAGGAAGAATTGAGAGTCATAGTGAAAACAGTGCTGGATCCTGTTGATAATTGTGTGTTTTACTGAAGCGTACCTCACTGCTAAGACTTCAGTGTGAGCGTGTTTCAGGGAGAACAAGAACAAAAGTGCACAGTAAACTATGCAGTTACTACAGAACACATAAATATTCACTCATTAAAATAATACAGAAAAACAACAAATCAGTGTTATACTGGGATGCAAGACGATGAATAAACACTTTTTGTGAAGTGGATGCCTTCCTAAGAAGTCCAGAAGTGAGCCATATACATACCGTCTGCAAGAGACCTCATATTATTCGTTAAAGGTATAGTATTTTGAAGTATTGATCAAAGCATTTAACATTTTGCATTAGCTCAAAGAATGTTACTTGAACACTCTGCTCACTACTTATTTTTCAGAGGTTCCAAAAGAAGAAAGAGTTTCAAAGACTTCAAAACTTTGGACCTCATAATTGCTTGCAGGTAATACAAACTATGTAGTATTCCAATATAGTATTATTCTGTATGGTCTTAACCTGTACCCTGGCTGTCTGATAACCTGGCAAATCACATTTTCATTTTCAGATTTATTTTATTCCATTTGTGCTTTTCAAGGTAAATTTAGAGCATGTAGTTTTCAGCTGCTTGACAGATTTCTTGTCTCTTCTCCTTTGCTTCATAACTTCCTCTTTCCTCCACAAGTGAACATGAACCTATCAAGTACTTCATAGAGGTGGTATAGGAAGATGGGAAGTGCAATTTGAGCTTCAAAAAAAAGGGGAATTTTTTCTCCATTGTTTGAATAAAGGTCAAAAGATTCTGACCAGCTACAGTTATGTGAAGATGTATGACGTCAAGAAAACATTTATTTTGAACTCTTAATATGGAAACCACTAAATTTTTAACACTGGGACACAGTGATTGCCCCAGGTGTGAGATTCACCTCCAGACTACCAGATCTGCCTGTGACATAAATGTTGAAACTGTCATCAAGTTGATAGAGGTCTAATCAATACCAGCCAAGTGAGTTCTTTGAGTTTCTTTTGATGCCCATCTTATGATTACTTGAATGTCTTCCAAACATGATTATTTAAATTATTTAACCAAGCGTTCAATGAAGTTGCCCAAGTATGGACATCTAATAACATATGAGTTGCCTGAGGATGTCCAAGACATCCTCTTAAGTATGGCAGGTAAGACAGTCATTTATAAGAGGCCCATACCCTGCTGGAGCAGCAGCTGGAAACAAGGCAAAATACTCCAAGGTAATGCAGATGGCACTAGCCACCTCTGTACAATCAATTTAACTGAGTCCTGTGTCTCCAACTGATTATGAGGGAAGCCTGGACCCATAGCTCACATGTAGGCACCGAGGGCAAGCACATAAGTATACACGTCTACAAGTCAAATGCTACTGAAGTTCTTTAAAGATTTTGAAATTGAAAGCTTTGCAGTTCTGAAAACTTCGTGGCACCTGCCTTCTTTTTCAAAAGTCCCTGAAGATAAGCAACTCTAAGTGCCTAAACAGCTGAAAAATACCCAGTTCCTGAGTTGAAAGGAAAGCATGGCTTTTACTAAGAGTTCATACAAGGAAAAATAAGGCACTAATTCCCATCAAGTGGAGGATGCCAGGAGAGAGGCTGTCAAAAGTCACCACGGCCTTTTCAGCACAGCATCCTTGTCTCTGAAAATACAAAAAGTTTCTTTGTAGTTACTTAATAACAATTTCTGATCTCTGTGCTATACAACTGGCATTTCATTATTTCACTGTTGACCTCAGTAGGAGCTGCAGGGCTTCCAGAGTTACTGTGAGAGAGACAATGAGTATAAATTCTAACTACGGATTTAGGAATCTAACTTAGGCAGAGATCATAGTTAATCCCTACAGTCTTTCTACAGGTGCTTCCCTTTCTGCATACCCATTCTGTAGGATATATGGTTAAGCATATTTTATAATACCATTAAGAATCAAAGACATCTCAGTCATTGGTCAGGTAAAGAATATATTGTTCAAGCAATTAATGTTTTATTTTATTATGGACACTAAGAGTTTTACAGTTTCCAGTGTTCAGCCACCCTCAAAGTAAAGAAATTCTTCCTCATTTTTAGAAAGAACTTCCTATGTTCAAGTCTGTGCCTGTTACCTCCTGTCACTGGCCACCACTGAAAAAAGACTGGCCCTATACTCCTGTCACCCACCCTGTAAGTATTTCTGGGCATTTATCAGATGCCTCCTCAGTCTTCTCTTCCCCAGACTAAAAAGACCCAAGTCCTCAGCCTTTCCTCATAAGAGAGATGCTCCAGGCCCCTAACCATCTTTGTAGCCCTTTGCTGTACCTTCTCCAGCAGTTGCCTGTCCTTCTTGAACTGGGGAGCACAGAACTGGACACAGTATTCCAGATGGGGCCTCACCAAGGCAGAGTAGAGGGGAAGCATAACCTCTCGCGACATGCTGGTCACACTCTTCTTGGTGCACCTCAGGATGCCATTGGCCTTGTTGGCACATTGCTGGCTCATGGTCATCCTGTTGTCCACCAGGACTCTCAGGTCTTCCTCCACAGAGGTGCTCTCCAGCAGGTCAGCCCCCAACCTGTACTGGTGCAGGGGGTTATTCCTCCCCAGGTGCAGCACCCTACACTTGCCCTTGTTGAATTTCATTAGGTTTCTCTCTGCACAACTCTCCAGCCTGGCCAGTTGTTGCTGTATGGCAGCACAGCCTTCTGGTGTGTCTGCCACTCCTCCCAGTTTTGCATCATCAGCAAGCTTCCTGAGGGTACATTCCATGCCTTCATCCAGATCATTGATTAATATATTGAAGAGGACTGTACCAGTACTGACCCCTGAGGAACCCTACTTGTTATGGACCTCCAACTAGATTCTGTGCCACTAACCGTGACTCTCTGAGCTCTATCTTTCAGCCAGTTTTCAATCCACCTCACTGTCCATTCATCTAACCCACACTTTCTAAGCTCAGCTAGGAGGATGCTGTGGGAGATGGTGTCAAAAGCCTTGCTAAAGTCAAGGTAGAAAACATCCGCTGCCCTCCCCTCATCTATCCATCCAGTCATTCCATCATAGAAGGCTACCAGGTTAGTCAGACATGACTTCCCCTTGGTGAATCTGTGTTGACTACTTCTGATAGCTTTCTTTTCCTCCATATGCTTTGAGATGACATCCGAACAAGCCATTCCATCATCTTTCCAGGAATTTTAGTGGAGTTAGGTAGGATCTATTTTTAGGAAATAATTTTTATTTGCCTTTTTTTTTAATTTTACAGGGAAATTGCACAGATATTCAAATTATATATCTGTTGTCTTCTGACAGTACTATGTGGTGTCATCCTCCATAACATAATGCTTAAAATCCATTGATATTAAAAGGTTCATGATTTATGTAACATAACCTGTGCTTTATAAGATACACAGTAATTTTCTTAAATGACATGATGCTTCAGTTCAGTGTAGTGTAAACTAATGTGATAATGAGTATAGCACAATGCATTTTTTCTAGCATGCTAGTATGACAGACAGTGATGCCACTGATGAGCATTCTAAGCTTCTCTTTTTTTCTTCTAGATCTCACTTTGGATCCCTACTCCTGTCATTGATGTGTTTAAATCCAAAAGGAGAAACAGCGAAGAACAGTGAAAAGCAAACTAATAGAAAAAAATATGCCTGGGATGCCTTTTGCTGTCAAGCATGATCATCCCATGACATCAAAAATAGCATCCAAGCCTTACAGTCGACTGGTGAATAGAATGGTCACTCCAGTAGCATGTTGTTTTTTTCATGTTTTGATAAAAAGTGGAAATTCGGTTCATTAAAAAGTATGAAATATTACCATCTGGGTCTTGTTTGAGTTTTTCTGAATGATTGCGTAGTACAAAATGAGCAATACGTTGTGCACCATGTAAATTTAAAATTGCAGCATTCCTGAAAAGTTAAAATATTTTTCCAAAGTTGAAATTCCATTTTTCAGCCAGCAGCAGAATTCTGTGAGCTCTCTTAGTGGAAAACTCTTTTTCTTAAGCAAATCCATTTCATTGTAGCCAGCAAAATAAAGATATGCATGCTCTGTTTAGCTGTAGCACTCTTGCTAAGCAACAAATACTAGTATCTGCCAAAATACTGTGTTTGCCAGAACTGAGCAAAAGCAAAATGAAACAAATGAGCAAACAAGTGAAAAAACCTACACAACAAAATGTTGCAGGTTCACTGTATTCCCAGAGAGCAGACATTTCATTCTGCAAGATATCAGCAAGGTGCAGCTTTTCATTTCAAACCATATATTGTCCCAGTTACATAGAAGAACACTCAAAGATATGATGTAATTCTTGAGTGTGTACCTAAATATTTTGCCACCTACAGCCCTGAAAGGGAGCTGCCCGAAAATGACAGCTGTACTTGTACTATTCCCCTCTTTATTGCTGAGAAGCTGATTTTACTGATGATTACTGCATTGCTTGACCCTTTCCACACTTAATGAAGTATTCAGGGACCATAAATTCTGCAGCAAACTAAAGAAAACCTCGAAGATGGGCCATACTAAGGCATGGAGAAGGTTCATCAGATGACCAGTTATGCCTTGGAAATATGTTTTCCTGGAAAGTCCATTTTTGTTTTATTGTTATTGCCCAATAAGCTGTGTACTTGCTTCCCAGAAAGCCAAGCTTATTTTTCTGAAGATGCTACCTCAGAAATTATCATTTATACTGAAAACTCTGTGTCCTTATCATTGTATTTCTTCATAGGGCCTGCACTAGACAACGCATGCTGAGCGGATCCTTTGAGGGGCAGCCTGCAAAGGAAAGGTCAATACTTAGTGTCCAGCATCACATACGACAAGAACGCAGGTAAACATGGTCAGAAGGGACGGTTTAAAATTATTCTTAAAATAAAGGTGACGAAAGGAATTAAATTTGAGCAATACCTAACGTGTGAAAAACTGAAATGACTTGTACAAAGAACTGAATTCTACATTCCTCATTGTAACCATAATGAAATTCATTGTACTGTATAAATGGAAAAAATGCCTTTTTATTTCAAATGTCATTTCCTTCACCAACTACAAAGCTATCAATTTAAACATCAGAAGGAAAGAAATTGGCTTATGTTAGACCGGACTGAAAACAAATGAAGAACATATAAGCTTCTGATGTTAGCAAGAGAAAAATGATAAGAATTTGAGATAGTGGGTGGCTGGAGAGCAGTGCTTTATAATGGCCATACTATAAAGGTCAAAATTTCATCTTGAGATGTATCGTTAAATTGATTATGATTGTTTCAGGTCACTGAGACATGGTTCCAACAGCCAGCGGATCAGCAGAGGAAAATCTCTTGAAACGTTAACTCAAGATGTAAGTCCTCACAGAAATGATGATTTCAATTTGAGAATATAAGAAATAAGAATATATACTATGTAATAAAAGCTTGCGTAAGACTGATGTCTATCTATGATCTTGTCTACAGTTTGTCTTTTGAAATCTTAAAATGGAGTCATAAAAAAAATACTGTAATTGCATTAGAATTATCCTCAAAATAATTGACTTGCTTATTTCACTGAGGGACTTAGTGATTTTGAAACACTTGCTGAGATAGATTCACTGTGTTGTAAATGTTACATTAGGAACACAACAATTGCTGCCCAGGACACCTTAAAAAGCCTTACTCTGGAATAACACAAATCACTCAGGCTGGCAAAACAACATTTCGAAATTTCCAATGGAAGTTTAACAATATTTTTCAAACACTAGAACTGTCAGACAAAAGGACGGAGACTAAAAGGGAGAATAGTAGTCAGGGATTTCACCGTGGCATAGTTTCATGCAATTAAGGGCATTTTCAGTTCTGCAAATCCATAATGATATTTTGTGGATCTCTGTGACTATGAATATTCAAGAGGCAATATTAGTCCCTCCATTTCCAAACTATAGCAGTCATTTTCTAGATGCGCTTCAAACTTAAAAACAACTGCATAAGGGGTAATTAATTAATTACGCTGCACGGTGGTAGGAAGAAGCTGTAGGTTACTAATCTTTTGAAGTGACTGTGGCTTTGCTTGTGTCCAGTAGTAACACCCAGCATTACCCCTCCAGGAGTGCTCCGAAGGCTGACTTAACTCTGAGTAGTAATACTCAGTAATACTCTGAGTAGTAATACTCAGGTACCCTCAACCCCATCAGCTCAGGCGAGCGTCCTCCCTCCCTCTCCCTCCTCCCCACGCTCTGCAGTCACTGCCTCCTGTGTTCTGCACAACTGGCTGCCTGGCAGCACATGCAGCACATGAAGCTGAAAAGGGTGTCGAAAGCCTTTTTTTTCCCCAGTCTTTGCCTTTAGTAACTTTGATGGTATTCATTCCAGTTCAGAGAGATCGGCTGAGCCTACGCGATTTTTCGAGTTAAAAGTTGCATTGGATGGGACTTCACGCATGAAATTAAACCTGAAATTAACCTTGATGAAAATAAGCAGCCCTGTGCTGCAGAGAGAAAATCCTGTACAATATGCTTGACTGAGTTGATGTGCGGTGCATTTGGAAATAAAGATTTTTCATTTGAATCTTTCTATGTAAAATACCGTGTCTTGCTTTCATCTGAAACATTAAAAAAAAAAACCAAACCACAGACCTCATTTAAAAGGAATCATTTTGCTTCTAGCACTCCAACACAGTGAGATACAGAAATGCACAGAGAGAAGACAGTGAGATAAAGATGATCCAAGAAAAAAAAGAACAAGCTGAAATGAAAAGGTATTTAAAATCAAAAGTCTGAGTGCACACTTTTCTGAATTAAGTATTCTCTGGATGAAGTGCAAACTATTGAGTCACAATGAAAAAATAATGAAGTATAAGGGATATTTTTGTCACATATAATGCATATCACTTAATATTTTAATGTTCTGTCTTTCAAAAGGAAAGTCCAAGAGGAGGAGCTGCGAGAGAATCATCCATATTTTGATAAACCACTCTTCATAGTTGGTCGTGAGCACAGATTCAGGAATTTCTGCCGAGTGGTGGTACGCGCTCGCTTCAATGCGTAAGTTGATTCCATATCAACAGTTGGTTCAGACAAGTGGTCATATTCATGTCCTCAGAAATCTAGATCTAACGTAGGCTGAAAGAGAAACTGCATATAACGTGGTCACCACACGAGCTGGCAGTCAGTTGCCTATGATGTGTATAGTCTTGCTGTTGGAGGAAAGGAAGCAATAAAATGCTGTTTAGGGGCAGAGATGTCTGAGCAGTGTGCGGTGCTGAGATGGGACAAGACTCTGAGAGGAAAGGGGGATGTGTTATACCCCCATTTTCACACCCTTGGGGAATCAGCTTGCTATTTCCTTCCTATTCCTCATCATAGGGTGGGAAATCTTTATACTGCAACAGTTACTCAAAGAATAGAAAGAGGTGAAGAGAAATGAATCCCACTATGCTCACCTGAAGAATCCTTAGCCCATAATTAGAGACCCAGAATGGGAGAGAGTGTTCAGCTGTGGGAGATAAAAGGAGAAGAGCTGAGAGCACAAGCAGCTTGATATAAGACCATTTTACAGCTCTTCTTTTAAACCTATGTCTATGACTGGTACTCTAATTTTGGAGGGTTAATGCATGTCACCTCGCAGACAGACAGTGTAAGACAGAAGATAGCTCAAGGCTATGAGCCTGGCACTTGGAAAACCTGGTTTTAGCACCTGTTTTACTATTAATTTTCTCTGTGCCCTTCAGCAAATTACTTTTAGGTAGAGCAACAGGAAGGGTAGATACTCAGTTTTACCATACCCATATTTAAGTGTTCTCCCACCTATGTAGAATCACATCCTTGAGTTAGGTGCCTACTTTTCTATGCAGTTGCTAACTTGATTGCTGTTCACTGGTCCATGAAGCAGTTGCAAATTAAAACAGCAAAACAAAACACACAAACATGCATTACCATCCATGTGTCAAATACGTGTCAGTGCCTCTTAGCATTGTGGACTGCCTGAGGGTAGCAGGATATTTATATTATCGACAGTTAACTAAAATGTTTGCTACTACAAGAGCAAACTGCTTTTGTTAAACAGTCATTTTTTTGTTTATTTAAAACCTACCTACTTTATTCATTGTCCCACCCAGCCTGCCAAATAAGATATTCTAGACATCTTTTTCAAACTGATAGGATGCATATTTTGTTCTAGTTAAAAAGGCTGAGGAATGCTGCTGTATACAATGTGGGGAATAGATAGGAGCTTAAAAAGCCACAAAAGTCAGTGGGTTCATTGGAAAGGCACCAAAACTAGTATATTCTTTATACTGATTGGTGTAAGTAGGTGAACCTGGCCTGTCGAAGATGCCTCTTGTTCTCCTTTTGTGCATCTTGCATTTTTATAATTCATAATCATGAAATCTCTTCTGGTGGTAATGTTTTAAGTTAGGTCAGTCCATTTTTCACTTTAAGCTCACTGAGGAAGCGATGGCAATTTCACATCCCAATGGCCAGATCCCTCACATGGGATACAGGATGCCTCAGTGCAGGTCCTGCCTCAGCATGATTTGCTGAAAGGATTCAAAAGATAGGTAAAAAGTGGTAGGTAAAACCACTGGGGCAAGGGAAGCTTCTTCAATAAGAGTCCTGTAGTTTCTCCTGCTGAACCTATTCTGCTTTGCATAAAAAGGCTAAATAATTGCTGGAGCAAGAACTTAAC